CAAAATTAAATTGTATGTCATATGGTGATCATTGCCATGGAAGAAAAGAGGATTGTGCGGGGAACGGGGATGTGGGGAGTTGCAGCTTTTAACAGGGAGGTCAGGTGGCTGTGACATTTGAGAAGGGACATGAAAGAGGTGACAGAGGGAGCCATGGGGAAGAGCCTTCTAGGCCTGATCATTGTTCCCTCAAACATCCCAAGTTGAACACTGTTGTCCCATTTCACAGATGGGACTGAAACACAGGTTAAGTGACCTGCCCAAGATCACATAGCAGGGAGGCAGCAGAGCCAGGAGTTGACCTCATAATTCCAAAGCCCATGCTCCAGGGCCACCCAGCTCCTCCATTTCGTCCTTTGCAAACCGGGTCCTTCAGACCTCTAGCCCCATCAGGAGGTTCTGCCATTTTTATAGGTAGCTTTTGTGAATGGAATGGGCTGCCTTTGTGTGATGGTGGAGTCAGCTGTGGGGGTTAATGATTCCTTAGGCTCAGAGGTTGGGCCACCTGCCCAGAGTTGCACAGCTGGAGGAACCAGAAAGAGGGAGTCAATGGGTCCTACAGATGAGGGGTTTGGGAAGGCTTCCTGGAGGAGGAGGGTTGTCTCCATACCTGAAGCCTCGGGGAGCTCACTGTACCACCCAGCTTCTCCTCCCACAGGGACAAGCTGGCGGAGCTTCACGGGAACATGTTTGTAGAAGAATGTGTCAAGTGTAAGACGTGAGTGTCACAAGAGGGTGTGAGCAGGCAAGCTGTGGTAACCCAAGCCTCCAGCCTGTTTTCTGTCACTTCCCAGGTTGGGCTCTGCAAAAGAGTTGAATCTGAGACTGAGAGACTCAGGGTGGGGGGCAGGACTGGGGTGTGATCCTCGAGGGCGGCACATCTTCCCCCTGGGGAGGCGTATTCATTTCCTGCAGCTGCCACAACAAACAGCCACAAACCAAGTGGTTGAAAACAACAAATTTATGTCCACAGTTCTGGAAGCTAGAAGTCCAAAATCAAGGTATTGGCGGGGACATGCTTCCTCCAAAATCTGGAGAGGCGGGTCCTTCCAACCTCTTCCAGCTTCCGGTGGGTTCTGCCCTGCCTGGGTGTCCCTTGGTTGTAGATGCGTCACTCCAGCCTCTGCCTCTGTCGTCACATGCCTGTCTGTGGCTCCGTGTCTCCTGTCTCCTTTCTGAAGAAGACTCCAGTCACATTGGATCAGGGCCACCCTACTCCAGCATGACCTCATCTTAGTTCTTTATGTGTGCAACACCCCTCTTTCCAAACGTAGTCACATTCTAAAGTATGGGGATCAGGACTCCAGCGTGCCTTTTCAGGGCACACAATCCAGCCCATAATAGGCTGTGACAGCTGCGACCCCAACTCTGGGAAAGCTGATCCAGAGCCCTTCCTGGAACAGGTGGGCTCTGGTGTATCTCCCTCTGCGGGGAGACAGCCTTGCAGGTGCTACTGACTGTGGGGACATCAGGCAGGGAGCGTGGCCCTGCCAGCATCTCCTGCAGGTGCAACCAGAGAGACCAGGGCATAAGGGCACCCCCCACTTGTTTTCTAAAAAAAATGTTTTTCTCCCAATTTATTTTGAAAAATTTTCAAGCCAAAAGGAAACTCACAAGAACTGTGTGATGAACTCACACTTAACCCAGACCAGCAGTTAAACTTTCCTGTAAAGAGCCAGGTGGTAAATGTTTTCAGCTCTGTGGGCCAGACTGTTTCTGTTACAACAACTGGCTCTGCCGCGGTAGCGCAAAAGCCACCGTAGACAACACATAAAGGAATGCGTAGGACCACGTGCCAATACAACTCTATTTACAAAAATATACCCAGAAGGCTGGATTTGATCCAGGGGACCATAGCGTGCTCACCCCGACTGAGATTCCCCAATGTCACCTTTTGCCACAGTTTGTTTTCCTTTCTCTCCCTGTGTTTCCAGTGTTTGCTGTGTTGTTCAGGAGGAAGGGGAAGACTGACTTGTCTCAAGCCCTTAAGACATTTGTCTCCCTCAAGCTTCAGCATTCTCTTCCACCACCACAGTGCAGTTACTAAAATCGATGTCATGTGGCGATTCAGTCTCCAGTTCATATTCCCAGTGCTCCCACTGTTGCTGTTTTTCTCCTGGTTGGGATCCGAGCCAGGGTCACACTCTGCATGTCAGTGTCACGTCTCTTTAGTCTCCTTTGTCTAGAACAGTTCCTGACTTTTCTCTGTTTTCCGTGCTGTTGACCTTGTGAAGCAGATGTTTCATGGAAGGCCCCCTAACCCTATTCTGGGCTTGTTGGGTGTTTGTGTTGACATTCTAGTCACGTGGTCCCCACTTGCCCGGGAGAGTGAGAGCCCCCGAAAGCAGGAACCACTGGGTGGGGCTGGGAGGTGGGAAGGTGGTGGCCTTCACCTGCCTCCACCATTCCTCCTTCCTCCTCCAACATAGGCAGTACATCCGGGACACTGTCGTGGGCAGCATGGGCCTCAAAGCCACTGGCCGGCTCTGCACTGTGGCCAAGGCAAGGGGCCTGCGGGCCTGCAGGTGAGTGACCCCTGTCCATGCCTTGGAGCCCCAGGGAGGTGGCAGGTCCCTGTACTGACTGTCCCCCAACCCTCACCATTGCAGGGGGGAGCTGAGAGACACCATCCTGGACTGGGAGGATGCCCTACCAGAAAGGGACCTCACTCTTGCTGATGAGGCCAGCAGGTCTGACTCCCAGATGAACTCAGGGTGGAGCACGCAAGGGAGAGGGGCAAAAGTACAATCAGCTTCAGCACAGCAGGGGATTCCAGCTCAGAGGTAGTCAGGAGAGACATCCTGGAGGAGGCAGCCCAAACCCACTCTGGGCCTTGATTTCCCTGTAATAATGGCAGCTACTAGGTACTAGTCCTCTCACACACCTGACCTGAGCCAGGGGCTTTGCAGACACCGTACTCACAAGGAAACCGAGGCATTAGCAAGGTGACTCCTTTGTGCAGCACTACCCAGCCAGGATTCTACCAGGAGTCCAAGTGTGCGAGGGCCTGCCCAGCTCAGCAGCTCCCCTCTGCCAACAGGGTAGGGGGTGGTTCCAGTCAAATGGAAACAGCAGGGGCAGGATGCAGGGAAGCCTGGCTCCCTAGGGTGTGCCTGGGCAAGTAGCAACAGGGTTTGAGATCCCACCCACCCCTCACTGTGGGGCAGGAGTTGTGGAGAGACTCAGCCTAACCCCGCCTTTCTGCCTTTCTCCGGGTCCCAGGAATGCGGACCTGTCCATCACGCTGGGCACCTCCCTCCAAATCCGGCCCAGCGGGAATCTGCCCCTGGCCACCAAGCGCCGTGGAGGCCGGCTGGTCATCATCAACCTTCAGCCCACCAAGCACGTACGTGCTGAGCCCACCCCTGACATTTCCCCTGCCCCAGACGAGCCCTCTGCCTCCGCCTGATGACGCATCCCTGCCTCCTCAGGACCGCCAGGCAGACCTGCGCATCCACGGCTATGTAGACGAGGTCATGACCCTGCTCATGAAGTACCTGGGCCTGGAGATTCCTACCTGGGATGGCCCCCGTGTGCTAGAGAAGGCGCTGATGCCCCTGCCCCGCCCGCCCGCCCCCAAGCTGGAGCCCAAGGAGGAGTCCCCCACCCAGTTAAATGGCCCATCACCAGCCAGCCCCAAGCAGGAGCCCACAGCTGAATCCACAGCTCAGCACAATGGTTCCGGACCCGTCAGCCCCAAAAGGGAGTGGCTGGACAGTCCAGCCCCCTGCAGGACTCCTAAAAGGATGAAGACTGAGGTGCTTCCCAGCTGACCAGGGGGGTTGGGAGGGCGGGGCTGGATTTTTTTTCTTCTTCTTACCTGTTTCACTTTGTTACTTGCCTCTGCCCTGAGGGAGGAGACCTCAGGGTGCTGAGAGCTATGCTGCAGGCCCCTCTGCAAACTTGCCCTCCAGTGGGGTTCTCTTTAGCTCCAGGGGCCTCTGGCAGGACCGAGGAGGAGCAGCCCTGGCCCAGACTGGGCCCTTCTCGCTGACACCGCAGGCACTTGCTCCACCCGCTCCACCCTGCCTGGCTCAGGACATTCTGGGGAGGCGTGGCCACGCCTTCTCTCAGTATGGGGCCCAAACAGGAATTAACTCTGCACTCTGGGCCCTCACACCCTGAAACCCCTGTCTCCCTCAGACTGCCTTCATGGTCTCCCCAGGAGGGAAGGGAGGCAGACCTGCCACTTAGGAGCTAACCCTCACGGTGGAACAGATGAGAGGCTGCGCCGCCCTTGGGCGCAAGGGGGGAAGGTGGACCTGCCTGGCTTCCTCCAGCCTTCCAGAAGTCTTCAGTGCAATAAAAGCAGAACTTTTTGCATCAGAGTCTGTGTTTAACAAACAACCTTGCGCCAGAGACAGGCCCTAGGCCTGGGGGAAGGAGTTAGTGGTTCCCTTGTCTTGGACGTCAGTCTGGGCTTCCCTGCAGTCCAGGCTTGGGGGTGAAGGAGGGCAGTGCCAGCTGCTCGCGTTCTGTAAGCCCTCGGTTTGTAGTTACGTTGCCTGTTTGCCTGGTTTTTAAATACTCGCCCTTGCTTCTAGGCTGTGAGCTGCTGGAGGAAGGAAGCCAGGTCCTTTGGTCCTGGTTGTCGCCTGTAGGCACCCATATGCAAAGGGCTGGGGCCACCTGTTAAAAGCTCGGGCACAGCTGGGTTCCACCCCTCCCTAGCTGAAACCTTGGAGGGGTCCCTTCACTTCTGGTACCTCAGTCTCTTAATGGGTAAAATGAACAGGGTGGGCAGCCCATCCCTTCTAGAAGGCAGCGACCCAGCTCCTCTTCGGATGCCCGAAACACCAGGACCTCGGGCTCCACCCGCTGCTGCTCTCCATGGTGCTGAAGATGTGCCCAGTGCCTTGCCAGCCCCCCTCCATCCTGGGTGCCTGTGGACCCCCACCTCACTCCCCCATCCTAGGCTAGCCCAGCCCCTCCTTCTGGGGGTTGGGGAGCCCCAGACTCCAACTCAGCCCTCACCCTATTCTGCTTCCACTCCAGCCGTGTTCTGTCACAATGTTTTATTAAGGATCATAGCAGTCTCAGAGAAAGTGGGCGGTGGCTGTGGGCCATGGCCATCCCGAAGCTCAGAACTCAGTCAGTGCTCAGGGGCCAGGGTTCCCGCAGTCTGAGCCACCTCCTCCTCCGTGCGTGTGAAGGGGCATAGAGAAGTCCCCAGGCAGGGCAACTGTTGCGGTGTGTCATGCATCCATGCCTGTCTGGGTCAGTGGGTCACTCACTCGGTATGCATCTGCCTGGTGCCTGCTGTGCCTGGGCCTGTGTATGTATTTCTCAGGCTCTGTGGCCTTATGAGTGCCCTGTGTCTGGGCATCAGTTTCTGCCCCTGTGTGCGGGTCCCTGGGTGTGTAGCTGTGTGTGTGCATCTCCATCCTAGCATCTCCATGGGGGTCTGCCTCACCCCCAATCCCTTGCCTGTCCACTGCAGCACTCGCTGCAGTGCCCCTGGGCAGAGAGGCCCGGGGGCACGTCCAGGTGGCGGTCACAGCTCCTCCCCCGCCTCCAGCCCCACCCGCCCTGGCCTGAGTGCTGGCTCAGGTGAGGCCCAATCCAGCAGGGTGGCCCGGCTCAGGTCCTCTGTCCAGTTGCCTGGGACCAGGGTCGACTTGTCCAGCTCCTCTGTCAAGTTGTCCAGAGTCAGCATGTCCCGGGATTTCCAGTGAGTCCTGGGGCTTTCCAGAGACCCTTCCTGGGGTGTGCCAGCCTCGGGCAGGGGTCCTGGGGCCTTGAAACTTGCCGTGGTGTCAGGGGCCACACGGGAAGCAGCATCGTTGTGCAAAGTTCTGGAGAAAACTGAGCGAGAGTTGGGGGTTCATAAGGGAAAGAAAGGGGAGGCTCATGTCCCTTCTTTCCTTCCAGCCAGAGAGCAGTTGCAGGGGTGCTCTCCCCGCCTCCCCCAGAGGCCCAGCATGGGGACTTGGGGAGCCAAGGGGACTGTGCCCACAGTGCAGCCCACAGTGGACACTGAAACCATCCTTGCCTACCTACCTCGTACAGGTGTGAAGTCTCCAGGACTCTCAGCTTTGTTGGAGGCAAAAGGGCTGATGGAGGGGAGGATGATGAGGGCGAAAGAGAGCAGCAGGACCTGCCAGACATGGGGGTGGGGTCACCCCATCCCTCCACTGCCCATGTGAGCACACCCATCTCATGGGCAGGGAAACTGAAGCCCCAGAGACTGGATTATGCCTCATCTGGAGCTCAGGCCATGCCACTCACACTCACCTTCCCCCCTCCCGCAGGCCAGTCTGCCAAGGTCGATGACCCCCTTTATCCTGGGGGCCACCAGACCAGGGGTAGGACTCACCGCTATGCAGGTGCCCGCCTGGGCTGACTTGCTGGTGGATTGGAGCACAATGGCCTGGAGTTTCTTCAGCTGCTCCAGGAGGGACCTTAGCGGAAATGAGCAGCCTTGGCTGAGCCCTACAGGGCCTCAGCCTGGGTTCCCGTCCATTTCCAGGGCCCCCCACCATGGCTGATGTCTGAATTCCCTCCATCCTTCAAGGCCCCACTGCCTTTACAAGTCTCAGACACTTCCTCTTTGTTTTGATAAATCTCCGTGACAACTCCTCCACCCAGGCCTCCAGGATCACCAACCTGGACACCTGCCCAAGCCTCCTCTCTGGTCCCCACCCCCACTCCTCCTCCCCCCACACACCTCCCTCTCCTACCCCCACTCAGCCACCAGGGGATGCTTTTCAAAAGCAGCTTCTCCCAACCCAGTCAGGGCTCCCATCTCCCTCAAGTCCTCCCTGCAACAAAGCCTTGCGCAACCTGCCCTCATCCCCTCCCTGCCCTCACCTCCTCCCTCTCTCCCCCTCGCTCACTCTGCTCCAGCCACACAGGCCTCCTCACTGTTCCTCCAGAGTGCCAGGCACTGTCCTGCCCCAGGACCTTTGCACAGCCTATTCCTTCTAAGGACGCCTTTCTCCCAGGTCTTTTTGTAGCCGGTTCTTCCTCATTTATTAGGTCTCACCTCAAATGTCACTTTATCTGACCTTCCTTTCTAAAATAACCCTTCAGGCCTGGCTGGTGTGTTGTAGTGGATTGAGTGCTGGCCTGCGAACCAAAAGGTCACTGGTTCAGTTCCTAGTCAGGGCATGTGCCTGGGTTGTGGGCCAGGTCCCCAGGTGGGGGCGTGTGAGAGGAAATCGATGAATGTTTCTCTCACACCAATGTTTTTTCCCCTCTCTTTCTCCCTCCTTTCACCTCTCTCTAAAAGTAAATAAGTAAAATCTTTTAAAAAATAAAATAGCCCTTCACCCTGCTTTATTTTTCTTCCCAGCAGCTATCACTAGTTGTGTGATCTTTTATATATTTTCATTTGTCTTGAGTATGTCTCCCACTAGACTCTGAATTCTTTTAAGTGGAGGGACTAGACTTCTTTGTTCACAGCTGTGGTCCCAGTGCCAGAACGATGCCTGATGCAGAGCAGGTGCCAGAGTGATGCCTGATGCAGAGCAGGTGCCTAGATGGACGCGCCCTTAGGTGGGATTATGTGCAGCGCTCTGGCATGCCGTGCTCCCAGCCTCCAGCCATTCATCTCCATACAGCAGCTTCCCCCAGGAACTCTTATATGCCCTTCAAGGCCCCAGATCCAAATCTCCTCCCCTATGCAGTCTGCCCCCTTTCTAGGTGACACCCTTACCCCCTGCTCTGTCCTGCCATCATAGAAGCTGCCCGCCCCCCCACTGTCCACCTCTGCTGCTGGGGATTTTCGGGCCGGCTTCCCCTGGTTGGACCAAGACTCACAGGTTCTGCTTCTCGAGATGCAAGACTTTCCTCTGAAGCTCCTGGTTCTGGGCAGTGCAGGCTGACATCCTGGAGGGACAACGTCACAGTGACATTCAGAACATGACTGCCACCAACTGTCCCAATCACAGATTCCTGCAAGGCCCCCTTCATGGACAGGGAACACAAGGCCAAAGAAGGGAAACCACTTGTTCAAAGTCACCCTGGCAAGTCTGAGAGAATGTGAACCCACGTCTGCCAGGTTCCTAGCTCCCATCTCTGCACTGGCGTGGGCGCTTCATCCCAGTGTGAGCCTCCAGGATTGGAACACAAGGCGGAAGTCAGGCTGTGATGCTTCCAGAAGGCGGAATAACAGGGTGGCTGGGAGTCCAAGGAGAACCCTCACCCTCTCTGCAACCTTGAGCCATCAGCTCTCTGACCTCAGTCTCCCAGTTTGTAAGATGGGGTTACAATGACCTAGTTCACAGGGTGGTTGGGAGAATGGCATGAGTTCAAGTTGACTAGGGGCTTAGCAAATTGCATTTGAGGAGCAAGACAATGATTGTTCCACCTGGGGTGCTGGGGTCCAGGCTGGGGACCCCGCCCTTCTCATCTGCATCCATCTGAGAACAGGGTCATGGCCCAGACCACTCAGCCGTGGAGCTGAAATACTCCAGCTGGGGCACGAGCATGTGTCCATCCTCCCATCACAACCAGGGCAGAGAAGAAATTCCCTCACCGAAGGGTCCTCCTTCTACATAACTCACAAGATAAAGAAGAATGAAGTTATAGGAAACCCAGGGTGCACACGGAAATGACAGTAGTACAAATGAAAACATGCGAGATGCAGCTGAGGTGGTGCTGAGGGACATGGATTGCCTTAACTCAGCTCTATGAGCTAAACGTGCATATCTAAAAACCCCCAAACAGCCCTAGCTGGTGTGGCTCAGTGGACTGACTGCAGGTTGCAAACCAAAGGGTTGCTGGTTCAAGTCCCTGTCAGGGCACATGCCTGGGCTGCAGGCCAGGTTCCCAGTAAGGAGTGCGTGAGAGGCAACCACACACTGATGTTTCTCTTTCTCCTTCCCTTCCCTTCTCACTAAAAATAAATAAATAAAATATTTTTAAAATAATAAATAAAAACTAGTAAACAAACAACAGCATAGACTCTACCCACCCACAGCAAAAAAAAAGTCTAAGAAGGACATAACAAACTTACAGTAGAAATGAAAGACCTAGAAAAGAAAAATACAGCTGCGTGGGAGGAAAAACCAGAAATCCATTCCTTGCAAAGAATAATAAAATAAGCCCTGGCTGGCGTAGCTCAGTGGACTGAGTGCAGGCTACGAACCAAAGTGTCGCGGGTTCGATTCCCAGTCAGGGTACATGCCTGGGTTGCAGGCCATGACCCTCCAGCAACCGCACATTGCTGTTTCTCTCTCTCTCTTTCTCCCTCTGTCCCTCTCGAAAAATAAACAAATAAAATCTTAAAAAAAAAAGAATAATAAAATAGACAAACTTCCGGCAAGACTGATCAGAAAGATGAAAGAGAAAGAGAAGGCACAGATAAAGGAATTATTAAAACAGGTTCAACATAGACAGTTCAGAACTTTAAAAATAATAGACCTATAAAACATTTTATGTCAATAAAATGACATAAAATATAACATCCCAGAAAAATATAACATCCCCACACAGACCCAGGCATAAATAGACAACCCCAGCAGACCTGTAACATTCCATAAAGCCACGCTTAGCAGTCACAACAGCTCTGAGAACCAGTGCCCCAGACAAGGGCAGTCAGCACCCCATCATCCCATGACGGGGCACAGAACCAGGGCAAGATGGGTACTATTAACCTCCCCCTTTTTTGCCACAACAAAAGGTCCCTTTTGGGACCCTTTTTGATGGAGGTCCCTTCATCCCCACATTCCAGGTGATGAAGGGACCCCGAAACCCTTGCCCTGTGTTCTCTCCACGCATATTCCCATCCTTGCAGTTCACATGAAAAATGGTCTCTCCCGGCGAGGCGCGCCACCAGGACTCTCCGTCGGCCACGCCCTGAAAACTGCGGCCTTAGCCTCATCACAACCTTCCTCTGGGCCTCGGTTTCCTCCCTGAGTGGGCAGTCCCAGGACCCCGTCTCACCGACTTTCCAGGCCATCAATATATTCCTTCTTCTTTTTCCGGCTTTCTTGGGCCGACTGTTTGTTCCGGATTTTCCGGCGGATTTTTTTCAGCATTCGTTCCTCGTACTGCAGAGTGACAAGGGAAGCAGGCTGAGTCAGGCTGGAGGTCGACTCTGTTGTCTGAACCCCACAGCTTCACCTTATTTTCTTCTCACGGGAGGCACTTCAGACCCAGACACCTGGGGGCAGAGTCCTGATGACTTTAAGATCAGCCTTCCTGCCCCTAAATTCTGGCAGTTTCCAAGAGGGTCCTGGGTCCTGGTAATCTTCCCAGCGTCTATTCCCAGTTAGTGACCAAACTTTGCGTATAGTGCAATTCCGCCACCTCCTGGTTACATCTGAGAACAGTGCTTTTCATAGCTCCAGCTGATACCAACACTAACGCCTTCCAATTGAGTAACAAACTCAGGTGGTGATATTAAGTGAATAGGTTGGGTAGGAACTGTGGCTTTGGGTGATTTTTTTTTCCTCTGGCGACAGACGCGTCTTATAATTCTAGTGTGGGAGGCCTATAGGTGAGGCTCACGGGCAGCTAGCCGCAGGAAGGGGGAAGGACCCAGAGCCAAGGGTCTCCAGGACTCACCTTGGTGAGAGGCAGCTGGGTGGGCAGCGTGATGCCTTCTTTGGCCAATAGTTTCTTCTCATCCTCTGTCAGCATCAGCTCCTGGCAGTGTCCAGTCCCAGGTCTTAACAGGTGGGGGGCTGCCATGTGATGCTGTTGCTGTGGAAGAGCCAGGGGAACTGTGTTTGGGGCAGGGAGAGACAGCCTCTGGGAAACGAAAGAGGCATCCGATTTGAGAAGCCCGAAATCCATCTGCTGTAGAGGGATGGCCCCAGCACCGCACTGGCGCTGGGGCTCCAGAGTCCGGAACACAGTCCTCTGACCCAGCAACTCCACTTCCAGGAACTGACCCCACAGACACCCTCTCACACTGGCAAAAGGCCAGCCACACAGGGTCCTCCTTCACTTAACAGAGACTCATTAGACAGCTTTTAACAGTCGCCTACTACATTCCAGCTGCCATGCTGGGCTCTGCACATTCCTTGTAACACTGTCTGCAATAACAGAGGATTGGAAGCAATGAAAATAAATACCCCACAAAGAGGCGACAGGTTAAATAAGGCAGGGCGCATTTGGACAACAGAGTATTATGCAGCTGTGAAAAGGGATGGGGTCTCCGTGTCATGCTACAGAGGAAAAAAATTAAAGGGGCAAGCCCTGGCTGGGTGGCTCATTTGGTTGAGCTGTCTCCCTGTACACCGAAAGGTTGCGGGTTTCACTCCCAGTCGGCACCATCACCTGGCTGCTGGTTCAATCCCTGGTCAGGGTGTGCATGGGATGCCGCCCATCAATGTTCCTCTCCTATCAATCCTTGATCCATCCATCCATCCTTCCTTCCTTCCTTCCTTCCTTCCTCTCTTTCTCCCTCCCTCTCTCTCTAAAAGCAGTGGACATATCCTCAGGTGGGGAGCAAATAAATAAATAAAAGGGCAAAACATGGTTACACGTGGCATGCTACTTTTTACGTTAAACTTCTTAAAAAGGAATCCATTTGGAAGGAAGAAATAGCTCCCCTGTGTGGGGAGCCAGGTGCCTGGGCAGTGAGGAGAGGGGTAGCTCTCTCCACCGTCTCATTTGTGCCATTGGAGCTTGGACCATGTGGGTGCCTTTCCGTATTCAAAACACTGTAGTTAAATTATTATGAAACATAAACACTAAGCATGAAAGAATCTTGTCATCAGAACATCCTAGTCTCAGGAATAAAGGTGGAAACTGGGGCAGTGTGTCATTCTTCGGGTCCAACTCCACTACCTAGAACTCTGAGTGGTTGTTTAGCTCATCCATTTTCTCTCCAGGGCCAAGCTCCCGTGTGTCTATCCATAAAGTGGAGATAAGGTCCCCCACATCCCAAGGTTGTTGACATCTAGAACAGTGATGAATTTACAGAAGCCAGTCAGCATTTCCAGAGCCTTCCTTCTCCTTTCCCATCCTTCAAGGCCTGCTGGAGTTCCACCTCCTCCAGGGTGCCCTCCGGGGACCTGCCATGACTCTCCAGCCTCTCTCCCTCATTGGTACACTTCCGGTTTTCCCATCTTGACCATGAGGTCCCCAAAGGCTGAGCACACAGCTGGTGCTTACCGTGCCTCTTTCAAGCTGGGAGGGGCATTTCAGTCTTGTCTAGAGACCGTCAGGATAACTTTTAGTATCAGGTAAACTGCAGTCCAAATCCTGCCAGGCCACTTACTTGCTATATGACTTTGGGCTTAACTTTTCTGGGCCTTGAGTTTCTCATATGAGGAATGGGGGCATTAACTGGGTTGTCAGATCTGGTTTACAGGTACTTGAAGCCTTGGCAAGATTGGTGGCCCTCAGTCAGCATGTAATGGGAACAACAGGCCCAACTGGCCCAACAGACCAGCCCAGGGGTAGAGCCTGCAGCAGCTGTGTGGCTTAGGGCAAATTACTTAACTTCTCTGTGCCCATTTCTTCATATGTCAAATTAACATAATAAGAGCCCCAATCTTCAGGGTTGCTGTAAATTAAAAGATGATACATTTAAAGCATTTAGAAGAGTGCCTGGCCTATAGTAGATGCTTAGTAAGTTTTAGGTGTTGGGGGTTTATTTGTTGTTTGTTCATTTGTTTGTTTACTAGCTCCACAGCAGAAGGTGTCCCAGCTCAGGAGACAGAACTCAAGGAATAGAGCCCATGGACTTGCTCAGGTGTGACCCTGGACAATCCAGCCTTTGTCTGTGACTCAGTTTTCCAGTCTCTGAAAGGAAATGGGGGTGTAGGGGCTCCACGAACCCTGGGGGCCCTCCCAGTTCTGAGGCTCGGGAGTTGGGGTGGGGCTGCTCACCGGGTCCCCACCACTGCCAGAGAGGAGGAGGTCTTTCACTGTGAGGTTGCAGCGCCGGGCCGAGTCTGCCAGCTCAGTCTGCTTCTCGGGATAGAGGCCCACGTTCCACATTTCTGACCAGGGCAGATAGGGACAAAGACAGGCAGGGAGTCAGGCAGGGGGTCCTGACCTCTCTCTCAGCTTCTACCTGCCTCCTCTAGCAAGGCTTCCAGGATTGACCCCCAATGTGCTAAGGCCTTTTGCTACAGCTTGGAGCCCCAAGGCCTGGGTTGAAGGGGACAGCCCTGGCTGGTGCCTCAGTTTCCCCTCAGCTGTAAGACAGGGACCCAAATTCATCAGGACATGGTCAAGGGCCCCGCTGCCAATGCAGGAGAGCAGCTGTTGTCACCCAGGATTACAGACTAGGTGTGCAGCCAGCCAGGCATCAGCTCCCTTTGGGGAGGGGCCAGGTCTGATTCCCCTCCAGTTCCCTCCTACCTGGTGCCACTGTGAGCTGCTCCCCAGAGCACAGACTTTGAGTCAGATAACTCTGGGTTCTAATCCTGACTGGGCGAAGCTGTGTTACCTTAGGTAAGTTACTAAACCTCTCTGAGCCTCCGTTTCAACTCTCCAATGGGACTTAGAAGAGCTCCTACCCCTTTGCAAGGCTCAGAGGACAAAGGACACCCTGCTGGCTTTGACTTGTTATTTAACCTCATGGGGACTCAGTTTCACCATCTGGAGAATGGGCCCATGACAGGATCCATCTCAAAGAGAGGGCATATGTGTAACAAGGTGAGGGCAGTGAGAGAAGTCACGGAGCTCACCCAGGTCTATGGCCACGGAGGCCTCGAGCATTTGGGCCGCTGGCCGAAGGGGCCTGGTGGGGCTGTGAGGGACAGGATGGTAGGAGGGGCAGAGCCCCTTGCCAGACTCCGAGAAATGGCAGCCAGCCGGGGCAGTGACTGGCCCGTTGTGTGGAGGGGTATCCGGGGGGTCGGAGGGCAGATCTTCAGAGATGCCGCTGTCACTGGCTGCAGGAGACCAAAGAGGAGAGCTGGGCACTGAGTCTCCAGAACCCAAGATACAGTTGAGGAAATCGTCAGAGTCCGGGGCTGGCAGGACCTGCTGGAAGGGGTAGGCAGGAAGGAGGAGATCTGAGCTTTTCTCTGGATGGATGTGTGACTCTTGACAAGCCACTTACCCTCACTGGGCCTTGCCTGTCCTTTCTATAAGATGAAAGGTTTGTGGGGCTTGAATACAATCATGTGGTGTGGGAACACCATGCAGCCTGGTTAAGGCGTGTGCCCTGAGTTTGAGTTTGGACCCAAACCAAAACTGCTGTGTGACCCCAGATAAGTTGCTGCCCCTCACTGGGCCTCAGTTTCATCACCTCTAAGGCACCAGTGCTGCCTGCCCATGGGGGTGGCTGAGAGGTTCAATGCAATAATGTGCTTTGCTAAAATCACACACCATGAGCCATAAATGCTACCGAGCTGAGTGGAGTTCTGTCTGCAGTGGGGGCCTCACCTGGTCCCCGACATGGCTCCAGTCCTCGCCCAGATCTGCATGTCTTAGAATTCCATCCTGCCGATCAAACAGGAGATCCAGGAGCTCCAGGCTATCCATGGGGCCCGAGGGGCAGGTGCAGGAAGCCATCTGGAGCAAGGACAGGACAGGCGTGAGGGCCCCGCAGCACCTCCCCTCCCCTCCCCGTCTCCCACTTGCATACCACCCCAGGTCTGTCCAGCTCAAGCCCCAGGTCTGCTTCCACTCCCAGATCTGTGCTGAGGGGTTGACCCAGAGATGCCCAGGGGAGAAGGGCCAGTCTCTTTAAAAAGTGCTAAACAGCCCTGGCCAGGTGGCTCAGTTGGCTGGAACGTCGTTCCATACACCAAAAAGGTTGCAGGTTCAATCCCAGGTGAGGGCACACTCCTAGCTTGTGGGACTGATCCCCAGTCAGGGCTCATACAGGAAGCAACTGATCGATGTCTTTCTTTCACATTGATGTCTCTCTCTCTCTTTCTCTTTCTCTCTCCAACCCCCCCCCCCCTTCCTCTCTCTCTAAAATCAGTAAGTATATTCTCAGGTGAAGACTAAAAAAAAAGGTGCTAGACAGATGTACACAAGGGATGATCAGCCTGGTCCGTCCCTCGAGGCTGATGGAATTGGCCCTCTCTTTCATTCCAGCCTGCCCTCGTTCCCCTCCTGAGAGGTGGGGGCTTAGAAGAACTACAAGAGCAGCCCTGGAATGGAGGCATGCTTTCGGCCACTGCATGTTCTCTCTGGGCCTCAGTCTTCCCATCTGTGCAATGGGGTGGGGGCTCCTTCCAACTCTGGGAGCTTGGGGCGGGTTTCCTGGCATAGACCCTCCCTCCTCCCTCCATGGACCCAGGGGGGGCTCACCTTTCCAGCTGCTAAATCTCCATTCATGAGCCCGGCCAGCTCTGCTTCCAGATGCTTTCTGTGTCTCTGATCCGTAGAGGCTCACCCGAAGTCTAGTTCCTCTCTGTGGATCTGTCACCACCCCCAAAAGATGCTGAAATAACTCCAAGGAACTCCCAGCCCACCCCCAGCTGCTGATTGGGGGACAGGCAAGATGGACAGGGTTAAGGGCCAGTGATTCCAGGGCAAGCTGGGGGGAGGGGAGAGAAGACCCGTTATCTTGATATGTTGTGCTTTTCCAGCCCGCAAGGGACAAAGGCCAAAGTCTGGGGTGTCTCTGCTCTGCCATGACCTCTTCCCTACTTTTGGGGACTGTTTCTTATCAGAGACCTAGACATCGGGATCCAGGAAGGCCCAGAGATCCAGGACCTGGCCCAGGTCCTGCCCACTCTCAGGACAGAACAAAACAGGAAGACCACCTGAGGGAGGCCATTGCTAAAGCTGGCCCCTCATAGGAGCTCCCTTCACTCATCAGAGCTGGCAACCTCCCGCCCACCCTCCAAGCCCTCCATGGTGAACCCGTGCAATCGATTCCTTCCAGAATCTTCTATCATTCATTTGTTCCACTATTTATTGACCCAAACTTGTTCCCACCTCAGGGCCTTTGCACTTGATCTTCCCTCTGTTCAGAACTGCCCTCTCCACCGCTTACTCTGTCGCTGTGCCCCCTTTCTTGTGAATGTGTGGTATTTGTGAATCAGCCCAGGTGACTGAGAGCCTGTCTCTGACCCCAGCAGAGAGGAGCCCCCTGCCCATATCTCTTTGTCACATCCTTGTTTTCACTGAACCCCCCATTGTTTAAAATGTTATTTGTGTATTTACTTGTTTGGTGTCTTCCCTCAGTTCTCCCCTCCCCACCGCACCCAAGAAGGAAGGGCGTTTGGGGCTAGAGTCTTTGTTCTCTGCTGGGTCCTCAGTGTCCAGGAAATGCCTAGTACGCAGTAGCTGCTCAGTTAACTCTTACTCACTGAGCACCGCCTATGTGTCAACCACTGCTGTAGGCACCAGGGGGAAGAGGCAGTGAATGAGAGACCACACATGTATGAACAAACCAGTAAGCAGGCAAATGGGTTAAGTACTACTGACAAACTAAATGTGGTCACGGTGAAGGGCGACTGAGGGCTAGAAAAGGCCCCTTTTAGAAGGTGATGTTTCAGTACAGTCCTGAATGATGAGAAAGAGACAGCTATCGGGAGCTCTAGGAGAAGGTTAAAAAAAAGGTAGCACATGCAAAGGCCCTGGGGAAGGACGGTGCCAGGTGTGTTGGAGGAAGAGCAGGGAGGCTGGTGTGGCTGGAGCAGAACGAGGAGGAGAGAGGAAGGAGGTGAGGACAGGGAGGGGACAGGGGCAGGTTGTGCAGGGCCCTGTGGGCTGCAGAATGGAGTCTGGCCTATACTAAATGTAGCAAGGAGCTTTGGGAGCTTAGTGAATGCATGGCCACAGCAAGACTTTGGTATACTAGGCATGATGGTAAGTGCTAGGTTTACATAGGTAACTAAAATGCCCTCCCTTGCTCCCAAGAAATTCACATCTTGGTATATATTTATCAATGCATTGGTCACTATTTATTCATGCAGCAAAAATTTAGTGAGTACCTACTATGTGCCACACATGATATACCGGTAGTTCTTTTATTCAATAACTTGCATTGCAGCAGTTGCCCACCCTGGGGGCACTGGACCGGGTCTGGAGACATCCATTGTTGTCACAAATAAGGGATGCTCCTGAGATTGAGTGGGTGGGGCCAGGGATGCTGCTCAGCACCCCACCGTGCCTAGGGCAGCACCCCATGGAGAGTGATCTGGCCCTATGTCAACAGTGCCAAAGGAGAGAGACCCTGTGTTACTGTAACTGTGCCCTCTGGATGCTGGTGTCATTATCTTGTCCTTGGCCTCCAGATCTTTCTTATTTCCTTTCTAAGCCCTCTGGGGTGGATCTTTAAGGGGTTTGTTTGCTTTGGCTTCTCTTTAGTGATCCAGTCATAACATTTGCTCAGCCTTCTCCGAGGAGGCAGTAGGCCAGGCCAGTCACAGCAGGTGCACTGGGGAGGTGCGATCTGACTTCTGGACTTCTCTCCGCCTCCCCTCACCTTGGCTATCACTCCCAGAAGCCCCAGTTCCCTTGGGATAGAATTCTTCCTCCTCCTCTTAGACCTACCAGAAAAAAAGGAGGTGGCATTACTCATTCACACCTTCATGTTGATTAAGGCCCTCCTAGTCCCCCCTCCTCAAGATATTTGTACTTCTTTAAATTTTTGTAATCACAGACCTCAGGAGGCTCTTACACACCCCAGTGAAGCGCTATGCAAACACATAGGATAGGGATACACATTCGAGGCACAGGAGAACTTTCTGATGCCCTTGACTTCACATTATCCCATTAACTAAACACAACCACCTACTTCAAAGCAACACTAAGTTTGAACCTGAAGTAAAAATCCCATAACAGTTTAAGTGTGAAACACAGCCCCAAAAGGATGCTGTTGCCCAACAAGGCTATGGAACACTGCATCAGTGAACAGCTTTGTGGGACTTATCAGAGCCTTTATGCTCATGGAGGGGGAAGAGTGCGTAGCATTTTCACAAACGTAACTGTATAGCTGCATTTTATTTTTAATTTGTATTTGATTTATCCCGAACCATTTTGGACATAGGAAGCATTGAAAGACACCGATTGGAGTGACTAAAATAGAAAGATGGACAACACCAGATGTTGGGGGTGGACACCACGGAGCCACTGGAACTCCCCCCCACTGCTTTGGGGAATCAAAATGCTCCATCCACTTTGTAAACTTTGGAAAAGGGGGCAGTTTCTCACTAAGTTAAACATTTGTTTACTGTTTGACTTGGCGATGTCACTCCTGGGTGTTTGCCTGAGAGAGATGCAGATGTGTGTTCCCGAAAAGACTTGCACATGAATGTTCACAACAGTTCTATTCACAATTGTCCCCCACGGGAAACAACATGAGCGCCCAACAAGGGCGGAGACGAACAAGCTGGTGCGTCCACGCCACACGGTACAACTTCGGCCCACAGCCATCGAACTGAACACGCCTAAGACGTGCATTATTATTGAGATTCATTCGACCTCGATAAAAATTATGCAAATATGCAGTGAACAACCGTGTATGTAAAACATTAGAAACAACTGATACCTCCACGAACAGGGCATCAATTCACAGAACCGATGCATTCACATAATGGAATATCATGTAGCCGGGAAAATGAGTAAGGATTATTTGCATGTACTGATAGGGGATGATATTGAAAACATTGATGTAACATATATGTTATTTATTTATTGTGGTGTGCATTTGTTCAACACACATTTATTGAGTATCTATTCCGTGTCAGGCAACAAAATGTCTTTTGCTCCTTCCCTTCATCAGTACTGGTCCAGGGGCTTAGCTCGTCAGAGAGAGGAAGGGGCGTGGGGTGAAGAGCTAAAAAGTCCCCAGCAAGGACTCCCCTGCAGACAAGGGATGGTCCTGAGAAGGGCTGTGAGCAGCATCCCCCGTGCCCGGACGGTGCCTGCCGCGCAGCTGCCCAATCAACACTCACAGAAGGAACGGCTGAACACGTGTAAATACAGTTGTTGAGTTTAGTGTGTGATTGGAGAAACTACAGCCCGTAAGCCAGTTCCCAGCTCTCTGTTTTTGTGAATAAATCTTTATTGGCACACAACCACACCTACCTCTTTATATATTGTCTGTGGCTGCTTTCGATACAGTGGCAGAGTTGGGTAGTTGCAACAGAGATCCTATTGCCTAAAAAAATATGTACCATCTGGCCCTTTTCAAGAAAAGTTCTCTGGAACCCACAGGTGTGGGGGTTAGACCTCCCTTGCCCAGGACAGGGGCTGAGGGCCACTGGAAGTATAAAGAGTGTGACCGAGTACCTAAACCTCAAATGCTGTATCATTTTTATTAATTTGAAATTTAAAACCAATACTCAAATCAGTTAACAAATAAGTTTTGAGTGCACATGGAACAACAGGGATTTGTGAATCTACATTTTAAAAAATATTTATTTATTTATTTATTTATTTATTTATTTATTTATAGAGAAAAGGAGGGAGACAAAGAGGGAGAGAAACATCAATGTGTGGTTGCCTCTCACACGCTCCCAACTGGGGACCCGGCCCACAACCCAGGCGTGGGCCCCAACTGGGAATTGAAACTGTGATCCTTTGGGTCACAGGCTGGCACTCAATCACTGAGCCACACCAACCAGAGCATGAATCTACACTTTTTACTGTAAATTTTCTGAACTCTGTAAGTACACATCAAGGACTTCTGGTGAAGACTTAGTGTTCAACCATTAAACACATTGGATATCCAAGGTTAGTGTGAAGAAAAGTGAAATATTGCATTAATAATTTTGATATTGACCACATGTTGAAATGATAATAGCTTGGATTTAGTAATCCAATCATTTTTATTTTAGATGAGCAAAATATATTAAGATGAAACTTCATTTTACACTGCACATTTTAAAAATGCAGCTGCTAGAAAATTTAGAGTGATACCTGGTATTTTTCTGAGACAGCACTGAGGTAGAACAGGGCCTGGGTTCAAATCCTGACTCTGCCACATGTCACTGTGTGATTATGCTTCTCCCTGCCTCAGTTTCCTTATCTGCAAAATGGGGGATAAACATCCTGCTTCACCAGGTTGGGAGGATTAAATGAATTAAAACATGAAATGTGCCCTGGCTGGTGTGGCTCAGTGGATTGAGCACCAGCCTGCAAACCAAAGGGCTGCGGGTTTGATTCCCAGTCAGAGCACATGCCTGGGTTGCAGGACAGGTCCCCAGTAGGGGTGCGTAAGAGGCAACCACACATCGATATTTCTCTCCCTCGCTTTCCCCCTCCCTTCCCCCTCACTAAAAATAAATAAATAAGATAATTTTTTAAAACTTTTAAAAAAGAAAGAGAGCAAAACATGAAATGCGTAGAAGGGACCTCCACACAGTCAGGTCTGGAAACCCAGCACTCATCACGGTTGTTACTATCTTTTCCAGAGTGCATCTCTAAGAGAACTGTGTTGCGCTCCAGTCCTGAGACGCTCAGCAGATGCCCGCCTGCCTGTCACTTTCCGGTGGCCTCAGCCCTTTGGCCAAAGCACGAGTTTTGTCGTAACGACAGTCCCCATTTTGTACAGGACAGAGGGGCTAATAAGGGGGTATGACTCACTGTGGCCACTCCCTGAGTCAGCCGCAGTTGAGACAACGCCCAAGTCCCCTGCTCCAGACTGGGGCTTGCCCCTTGTCACCGTGTCACCTATTTCTTTTGGCTTCTCTACACTTCCATTTAAGGTCAGTTTTGGGGGGAAGAGGCCAGGGGGTCTGGGAGCAGCAGCTCCCGGACCAACTGCTTCCCTTTCCCCTCCTCCTCTGGGTCCCTCCCCTGGGATAGGATTCTGTCAGGGAGTGAGTAACATCCTCGTGACATGGGTGTGGCAGGGGCCAGCCAAGGGCTGGGGGCATGGGGGCACTCTGTTCTGCCTCTCGTGCAATGCGAACTGATTAGCACCTGATCCTTGGGACTGCCCGGTTCTCTCTCCTCTTACATCATGCTCTGCAGCAGGTACAGAAAGTTCTGGGCGCTTGGGAGTGGGGCAAACAAGGCTTGAATCAGGGTCTCTGAACACCACGAGGAAGGAAAGCTTGGTGGGAGATCGGCTCCCTCTGCTCCTCCTAAAAAGGAAGGATGTTATGCCCAAGAATTTATTCACTCGTTCCTGTGACCATTATTTTTTGATCACCCACTGTATGCCTGGTGCTGGGGACACAGCAGGGAACACAACAAATTGTTCCCCACTCCGTGTCCCAGTGGAGCTGGTGTCCCAATGCGGGAGACAGATGCTAAATAAAATCATTTCTGCATAAGCAAGAAAATACGTAACATTAAGAGACTACATGTAGAAAAATAAAGCAGGAAAGAGACATGGGAAGTGTGGGAGTGACTTGTGGTTTTAGATTAGGTGGTCAGGTGGGAACGTGGGAGGAGTGTCGAGAGGGGAGAGAACAGGACGGCCAGTGTCAAGGCCCTGAGGTGCCAGGAACTGCAACGGCGAGCTTGGGGCCGGGGCAGGGTCAGCAAAGGGGAGGTGAGGGCGGAAGGGGACCTAGGGCCTTGTTCCAGGATGAGAAGTCCTGTGATGGCTCTAGAAGTTTCTAGAAGGGGCTGGGTGGGACATGTGTGTGGACAGGCCTAGAAGGCCCGGGTTTCAAGGACACTGTCCTCCAAGTCTGGTGTTCACGGCACACTCTCAGCTGTCCATAGGAATGTGGTCCCCCAGCTTCAGGCGAAGAAGCAGTGCCTGGGGCAGTGCCCCAGGAGGGCCCTCAGCCTACACCCGCAAACAGGGCTGCCTCCCACTCATCTCCCTTCCCCACCTCTCCCTCCTTGTCTAGCCATCATCTCATCCTGGTGATTGCTTTATGGCTGGTGGGTCCAAGGGTTGCAGGGGAAATCTTACCAGGAAAAGGAGGCCTCCACTGGCTTCAGGTGTGGTCATCTCAGCTTCCTTCCTGTTGTGGGGGAGGAGACAGAGTGTCTCCTCCAGTTCCACCCTGGGGACTCAGGGAAGGCAGCCATAGGGTGGGGTGGTAGGCATGGCTGCGCATCCAGGCCCTGAATGGGGAGTGCCACAGACGGGGTCACTGAAACAGCAGAAATTTATTATCTCCCAGTTGTGGAGACTGCAAGTCCAAGATCAAGGTGTGGGCAGGTTCATTCCTTCTGAGGCCTTTGTCCTTGGTTTGTAGGTGCTGTCTTCTCCCTGTGTCTCTGTGTTCAAATTTCCTCTTCTTATAAGGACTCCAGTCTAGCCATATACATTCGGACTACTGCAATGACCTCATTTCAGCATGGTTCCTTGTTCAGATGTCGTTTCCAAACACTGCCACATTCTGAGGTCCCGGGGGTTGGGACTTCAACAGATGAATTTGGGGCGGGGTGAGGTGGGGTGGGGAGAAGACGGGAACCTGTCCCTGTGCCCACGGCCCTGAGAACAACCTCACACCATCCGTGTGGCTCTTACATGTTCGTGGGATGAGCCCCACAGTTCATGTGCACTGTGCATCCCAAGAGAAATGGGCCTGCTCACGGCCAAGTTGAAAAGTCAGCCTTGTCTCTAATCAATTCATCAATTTCCTATCTTGTGCAGAATTACTTCTGGACTCGGTGCCAAGAAACCAACGTCCTGTCCCCAGCTCAGCAGCAAACTGGCCATGACACCACAAACTCACGACTCCCCTCTGAGACTCTGTTTTCCAGGCTGTAAAATGTGACAGTTGATCTAAAGGTTGTAGAAAGGTCGAACATTAGAATAACGTTTAATCACAGGGGAAATCTGATCAGGAGCAGTGTTGGATGGAGTTGTGGGCCAAGCTGTGCCGGGTGGACGTGGAGAGGCCCCACCCTACGGGAGCGAGGCTGGCCGAGCTGAGCGTGGAGGAAGCGCCGCGCCTTGGTTCCTCAGTCCAGAGTCAGCCCTGCCCCGCAGAACGCCTCCAGATGCTCCGATGTCTGCCAGAGCCTCCAGGTTAGAGAAGGCCTGCAAGGTCACCCAGCCGGGAATAGGACAAGCCTCGGCAGAACTTAATAACATTTATTTTTACATTGCGTTTATTTTTACAGTTACCCTCTATTCAGGACATCTGATACTGGTATCAATTTACCATTGTGTTATAAAGTGTCTTTCTAAAATTTATTGAAGGAAAAAAGTAAAGTTGATAATAATGCTGAAGATTGGACTAAGCTTTTTGTTCACAAAATTTATCTTAAGCCCTGGCTAGTGTGGCTCAGTGGATTAAGCGTGGGCCTGTGAACCAAAGGATCAAGGGTTCAATTCCCAATCAGGGCACATGCCTGGGTTGTGGGCCAGGTCCCCAGTAGGGGGTGCGCGATAGGCAACCACACAATTGATGTTTTTCTCCCTCTCTTGCTCCCTCCTTTCCCCTCTTTCTAAAAATCAATCAATAAATAAAATATTTTAAAAATTTATCTTAAAAGGAAATATTGTAATACAATGGTAAATAAAAAAAAAATAGCACTAAGTACCTAAAACAGAGGCAAAGGAAAATAAACAACGTTAATAAATTCCAGGCACCTACTGTTGCCTGTGGGAGATCCTGGACTAGGTGACTCTGTTAAAACAAAATTAGCAAATAAGTGTTGAAGACATAGCAGCACCCAACCAAGTACTTTTTTATTTAATTAGAAGGCTTAAAAGAGAATTGACAAGGAAGTGATGTCTTATTCTTCATTAGTTTCTTTTTACTCGTGTACAGTATTTCCTACACACAAGCATGCCTGGAGAACTCACTTCATGCATCGAATCCTTTCAACACCTCCTTCTCCTGGACTTTTTTCCTCCAAGAAAAACAATGCCATTCCCCTCAGGCTCGGCTTCCAGGTCTAATGAGAACCACGGCTAGTACGTAGTGACTGCTCACTGTGCCAGGCACTGCGCTAAGTACGTGGATCCTCCAACACTCCCAAGGAGTGGGGGATTTTGTTATAACAGTTTCATAGATGAAGACACTGAGGCTCAGGGAGGAGAGTTGTCTTCATCAGCTTGTGAGGGGCGATGCTAAAACTCAAGGCAGTGATGTGAAGCCAGACATGCCCCTGGGTGGCCACGCTTACAGCGATGCCAGGCAGGGTGATGTGGGCTCTGCCGCGTGCTCAAGCACACAGCAAATGTCATGGTCACAACACTCTGAGTTCAGTCCGAGCCCTGCCTTGCAAGCTGTGTGACCTTGGGCAAGTTACTTGGCCTCTCTGTGCCCCAGCTTCCTCCTCTCCAAAATGGAGATGATAATAAAGAGCAAGGTCCTGGCTAGTGTGGCTCAGTGGCTTGAGCACCGGCCTGTGAACCAAAGGGTCTCTGGTTCGATCCTCAGTCAGGGCACAAGCCTGGGTTGTGGACCAGGTCAGGTCCCCAGTAGGGGGGCGCACGAGAGGCCACCATACATTGATGTTTCTCTCCCTTTCTTTCTCCCTCCCTTCCAGCCTGCCTAAAATAAATAAATAAATAAATGAAATCTTTAAAAAAAAAAAAGAGCCAGTTAGCTCCTATATGTAAGCAGTGGCAAGCAGTGGTGTACCAAGCATTGGGTGAGCGAAGAAGCCCACCCCAGGTGCTGTCAACGAAGGGGACCATTGTCTTCTGAAAATTCAAAAAGGATGCCCTGGCTGGCATAGCTCAATGGATTGAGCTTGGGCTGCAAACCAAAGCATCACAGGTTCGATTCCCAGGGAACCTGAGTCAGGGAACATGCCTGGGTTGCAGGCCATGTGAGAGGCAACCACACATTAATGTTTCTCCCTCTCTCTTTCTCACTCCCTTCCCCTCTCTAAAAATAAATAAATAAATAAATATTTTTTTAAAAAGAACTACCCTTTAAAAAAATTCAAAAAGGTCAATAACCCATATTTTATTAGTTGCTTTTCTATTATTGCTGTGTATAGGCAATTCTAAATAACATCAGTGATAAAATATTCTCCGCCTAAGAAACCTTTTATTGGTCTAAACCAGAGGTCAACGAACTTTTTCTGTGAAGAGCCAGATAGTAAATATTTCCAGCTGTGTGGGCCAGGTGGCGACTGAGCAGCAGGCGGGCACAGCCTGAGGGCCACTGCGGACGGTCTGTGAATGAGTGTGCTGCGTGCCAGTGACCCGGAGACACGGGTGGTGACACTCAAACCCTCTGCACTTGGCGCATTATGATGTATTGTTCTCCCGTTGATTTTTTCCCAACCAGTTACAAAACCATCCTCAGCTCCTACAAAAAGACATATTGGGCTAGATTTGGCCAGAAAGCCATAGTTTGTCAACTCCTGGTCTAAACCAGTGATTTTCAATATTTTTCGTCTCATGGCACACCTGAGCTAATTACTAAAATTCTGCAGCACACCAAAAAAATATATATTTTTGCCGATCTGACCCAAAAAATAGGAATAATTTTGATTCATTCACACTAGATGGCTATCATTGTGTTAGCTCTCAGCATTTTTGAATTTGACAATCTAAGAGAAGAGAGGTCAGTGCCCCTGACTAAATAGTCAGGTATTGCATGTCTTAAAAATTCTTGCAGCACACCAGTCGAAGATCACTGGTCTCAACAATTGTTGTTGTTACTGTTGACATTTAGTAAGCTTTAAATACTTTATGACTTACCCTTTAATAAACATTGCATTGTACAGGGACAAGAACTTGGACAACTCCGTGTCAGACTCTTGGACACATGCAGTGGCTACACACGTTCATTTTGAGAGTTAACTCTTAACAATTCTAAATCTTTTGAGTTCTCTTGGGGCACAGGTCACATTTCCACCTCGAAGTGTCACACATTCTTGTGTTTAAGCAGTAGATTCTAAACAAGCAATGAGAGCCCAGTGATTTCAAGGGCAAAGAAACTGAGTTTGAGCAATTTCATAGCCTTTATTCTCTCTGAACACTTGAAGGTTCTATTTGACTGGAAGATTTTAAACAGTGAGTCAAACTGCAAGTTATTTGTATTTGGTAAGCTCAAATCTTAGTTCAAATATGAAATATCTTTGCTGGATTTGACCCATATCTTTTATTTACTTTTTACAATTGTATTCAGTTATTGATTTTTGCAGAGAGAGAGAGAGGGAGGGGAGGGGGAGACAGAGAGAGACTGATTTGTTGTTCTACTTATTGATGCATTCACTGATGATTCCTGCATGTGTCCTGACCAGGGATCGAAACTGCAACTGTGGTGTGCACAGACGACGCTCTAACCACATAAGCTACCTGGCCAGGGCAAGCCATACCGTTCAAGTGCAAATGTCTTCTTTCTTTAAACTGTTACTCTTATTTGCTTATTTACATATTAAATTGTCATGTTATTATTCATTACTGTGACAGACCAGTATGTAAAGACAAGTTTTGCTTCAAAAAAAAATTAATTAATGACCTGGCTGGTGTAGTTCAGTGCATTGAGTGTGGCCTGTGAACCACAGGGTCACCAGTTCGATTCCCAGTCAGGGCACATGCCTGGGGTGTAAGCCAGGTCCCCGGGGCGGGGGGGCACATGAGAAGCAACCACACATTGATGTTTCTTTCTCTCTCTTTTTCCCTGTCTTCCCCCTCTCTAAAAAAAATATTTAAAAATAAAATAATTCATTAATGGAATTAAACAGTATTCATTCATTATTTTTTCCCTGATTGGACTGTGAGATCTATATTATGTATGTTACTGTCATGCTTATATATATGATGTTCAATAAAAGAAAAATTTCACTCACTCTATTGCTTTTCCGGCAATAAGTATTATTTGTTGCTCTTCATTGCTGAAATTTTGTCTCATAGAGGAGTGGGTATTAAAACAAGACCTACTCTGGGTGTTAAATGAGCCACATAGGCCACTGCATTTAAGCATTTAATACCTGATGCCTAGTAAGTGTCAAACAAACATTTATTATCATTGATGCTCCACTGACAAGCTATGCCTGAGAGCAAAGCGCAGTTTTTGCATTTTTAATAGTTAAAAATTAAAGAAAAATTATTTTGTGACACAGGAAGTTTACATGAAATTCAAATTTCACCCTCCAAAAATAAAACTTCACCGGCACGCAGCCAGGCCCATTTGTGGGTGTGTTGTCTCCGGCTGTTTGGGCACCAGAAGCACAGGGCTGACTTGCTGTGGCAGAGATTGTGTTTAAACTGTTTGCTGTATGGCCCTTTAAGAAAAAAGTTGCAGACACCTGCTTTAATTTGTTAACCCCTCTCTTCCAAACCTTCAACTCTGGAAGCATAGTAGAGGGCTTCCAGGTTCAAAGACTTAGGACTCCCCCACTCGCTTTTTTAGCCAAGCACCCTCAGGTGGACCCCTCCCCTCCCCACCCAGGGTCTGAGGTGCGGCTGGTTTTCCAGTACTTGGTGCCCTCTCGTGGGCACCACAAGCAACTGCCTCCTCAACCTCCTTCCTTGAGGACCTCCCGGCAAGGTCTCCTGGAAAGTAGAAAGTAGTGATTATTTATGTCCAGTGCTGGAAGGTAGGAAGTCAGCTTGGTGTCTCCTTCTTGCCCTAATTCTGCCCCCTGCCCCTGCCAAGTCCTCCACGGCTTCCCTATCCTGGGATCACAATCCCACCATGCCGCCATACTTTATACACTTGACGGGTTCTCAATGAATCAAATCA